TGGATACATGGCTAGGACAGTCCACTGCTCCAGCCTTGAGTGCCACATCCTTTCTATAGGGAAGCCCAATTCTCGCTTCCCTGTAAGAGGCAGTGGATGACGGGAGCTTCTCTATGCATGACTGAAGTTATCCCCTGTGATACAGAGTCCCCAGTAGTATGCAGAAGGAAGAGCTTTGAGACAGGAGCAGGTCAAGTAGGAACTAGGAGTGTCCTCTAAGACCAGGTTTCAAGTAGGGGTTCTCAAACCCCATCAGGACCCCAAAGACAATCACAGCTATTTATTCATGTCACCAGGCCTAGCTTGTGACTTGCTAGGGCCCTGAGTTGATGTCTCAGGGCTTCAGTTTTGACCCTGCCCATGGGCAGTGGGAGTTGGTCAGGCTCAGTGCCACCCTCACTTCCCCCACAATCAAGTTGTATAGAATTGTGTCAGGAGGGCCATGGTGTAATTCAGTTTGAAGCACCCCTGCACTCCCTAGTTTAGAGAAATCCTCATGACGTTTGCCAGGCACATGAATCACACCCTACAGAGAGAAACAGAAAGGCCAGAATACTCACGGGCTACAGCAGGGCAGGTGGTGGTGCAGGATGCAGGCAGGGAAGGCTGGCACACTGAGGCACTACAGTGCAGGTACACCTAGGGAGAGGCGAGTGGTTAGGAGATTACTGCTCTTGCTAGTCAGCAGGGGGACAGTCCCCAAAGGCTCTTGACAGGTTGAAGCAGCTTTTGCATCTTTGTCAGGATGTCCAGCAGATACAGGTGTGATGTCTGCCCAAGTTAACAGAACCCCTTTTCACAACCCAATGCTTTGTGATGCTCAGTGCATAGGAAGGCCCTTCAAGCAATGTAGCAACACCCTGAGGTGCTGGAGTTATTCATCCCCAAAACATGCTCAAACAGAGTTTGAAGATTCTCTGCTTGCATGGATAACTTCCACTGAATGGGTTTGCATTCAAGGGTGAATGAAGCCCACGTTGGGAGTTGTAAAACAGAACAGTAGACTAGACGGCTGTGTCTACACTGCACCCTTTTTCCGGAAAAGGAATGCAGATTAGACCAGTCGGAATTGCAAATCCATGGGGGATTTAAATATCCCCCGTGGCATTTGCATTTTCATGGCTGGGGGGGGTTTTCTTTTTTGGGGGTGGGGGGGCTAATCTGCATCCCTTTTCTGGAAAAGGGGTGCAGTGTAGACACAGCCGACGAGTAATATCCTAAGTCCCACCTTCCCCTCAGGACATTTGAGGCAATCCAGTTTACTCTTGGCCTGTAGTATTTGTTGTACTCCATTCTCCTGTGAGTACATTATGCTATGGAAATGCATGGCCTCACTGGAGTTGTAGTTCAGCTACTGGATGCCTCCCACCCTTTAGATCAGCTCCTTGCTTGTACATGAGCTCTGACCCCATGGCTTGGAGCAACATGGAACACTAATTCTGAGTCCTACATGATCTCCAAGCAGAGATACAGCCCTGTGCTTGAGTGGTTCTCCCAACTTCCAGCTGAAAGCTGGTCTTTGTGGGAAAGGGTTCCCACAAGTCAGAGGGACAAGTCTAACTATGTGCTACTAGGGAAGAACCACTCCCCCATACAGCTTGCTGGGGCATCAGAGCCCTCGCCCCTCCCTGATGCAGGAGCCAGGAGGGAAGCCCACATGATGCATATGGAAGGACCCTTATGGATGAGGGATCATACTGGGCCTGTAAACATCTGCTGGGAAGCAGAGTCCACGAAGGTGAAGGTGCTGATGATGAAGCGCTGGTAATGAGATGGGAACTGCAACCCTGACGCAGCTCCTACAGGCACTGGCTGGGTTTGGTAGTTGTCTCCTGCATAGGGGCACCTAGGAATGAGCAAAGCAGTATTTAGAGAGTGTCCTGCTCTGGCCAGACCCTGTGACACTCCTCATGTGGTACCCCCAGGCACTCACCCATCCACCAAGAGGGGCCACTGTGGCTGCTGCTGAGGATTGGCGCTGGGAGTGGCCCAGCACTGGTGGAGAACAAGCACCAGGTTTGGGTCAGTTTTCTGCAGTATCCGGACCTCCACGTAGATGGGGTCACGGAGGACCTTCACCACAGGGTAATCTCTGTCTGCATAGTAGGAGCCATAACCCTGGTCTGCAACAAGCCAGAGGGACAGCAGGTCAGTGGCTTCAGCTAAGGCTTTTCTAACAGGGATGGCCTGCGTCAACCTAGAAAAATGCCTAACTTTCATATGGCAAGTGGAAGCATATCCCTATTTTTAATTATAACCCATATTAGAGTTGCCAACCCTCCAGGAATTCAAGGGCAATCAAAAAGATTGTCAGGTGCTGATATCAGGGTGACACCTTCTTGCTAACTGACAAGCCTACCCAGAATATATTTGCTCTGCTACTGTATTAAAAATTTTTTCCAATAGGCAACTCCTTGTCAGCAAGAAGAATGCTAGTTTGATTCTAACTGCAGTAGTGTTCTTGGACTGAACCCATGCCAATGATAGTCCTGACTTCCCACACAGCATTTTAAAAAATTCCTGTCAGGGTGGTTAAACACTGGAGTAAGTTTCCCAGGGAGGTTGTGGAATCTCTATCTCTGGAGCTATTTAAGAGTAGGTTAGATAAATGTCTATCAGGGATGGTCTAGACAGTATTTGGTCCTGCCATGAGGGCAGAGGACTGGCCTCAATGACCGAGGTCCCTTCAAGTCTGAATACTCTGAGTCTATGATTTGCCCTTCTCTCCCATTAAGGAGAAATGAGACCCAGACACAGGAGGAAGAGTTTGCTACCTGTGGCAATGCGCAGCTCCAGTGAGAGGGGACCAGGCTGGGACACAGCAAGGGGTGGTGGTAGCGTGAAGACCTGGATGCTCACAGGGAGGAAGTTGCCACTAGTAGAATAGCTACAGCGGACGTGCAATCTGGGGGGTGAGAAACCATGAAGTTAACAGCTAGTCAGGACCAGCCGGACCCTGGGGACTTTTATTTGGGGAGGAGGGGCGGGATGGGGCTGGTTGGTCCTGACTGGCTGTCATGCCTCTGGATAATTTGGAGGGAGAGGCTTTAAGTCTGCTCTTTCAGCCTCAGGGAAGGCCAGGTCATCATGTGACCTAGGAGAATCGAGACTGAGAGGCAGGGACTGTGCAGTTTCAGTATTTACACTGCAAACATTTGCTGAATGAATCTGTTCCTGGGCTTCTGACAACGATGATCTGAACAGGGCTCATTGGAGAGACCACTCTGTAGATGCTGACGGGTGAATTTCATGAGGTTACCTAAAGATGCTGTCCCGCGTTATGGATCCTCGACTCCAGGTTCTCACATCCTGGTCTGCTACCAGTTCGTTTTCATATATACCCTGGCTCCCATCCATCTGCAATGGAAGATCAGCCAGTCACCCTGCAGCTCTGCTGCTTTCATAGCAAGTTGGATATTAGAAACCTGAGATTTCTACCCACCATCAACAGTCATTGGGATGGACATAGGCATCATAAGGGACTTGAGAGCATAACTAGCTCTGACCCAGAGAGTCCTGCTGTTCCAGTCTAAGCCAGCCTCCCCAACCCTTACCTGGAAAGTGGTGCCACAGGCAGAAAGTGGAAACTGGAACAGGACAAAGGCATCATTCTTTGCCACAGGGACGCAGCCAGCACTGCTTCCACTGGCCAGATGCACCGAGTCCAGGATCAGGGATGGTAGAGTCACATCCCGAGAAATCACAATAGAGAACTGGCCATCGGGAGTGCATTGTGCTGTCACTGGAAGTGAACATGTGACAGTTTAAGACAGAGTGGGAACAAAGACTCCTACATTGGAGGAGTGTGGGGGGAGGGGGACACCTGCAACTGACTGTTATTGCAGCTTCCACAGGGACAATGACATGCCTTCTGGCCTACAAAGCTGTTTGTTCATGGCAGCACTAGAAGCACAGTCTAATGATGGATGAGGTTAGTTGACTACCAGGAGTAATGAGTAGCCAGCACAACAAGGTCTACTACAAGCCCTATTCTGGTTTAGATGCTCAGTTGGCCAACCCCTCTTCCTCCTCCCCCATGTGGCATTAGTCAGCTGTGTTGACCACTCATGTGCCTAGAAACTCACCTGTGTTGCCATAGTAACAAGGCTTCAGCCTATCAGTAGGATTGTAGCAACAGCCTCTTGCTTCACATTCCCCTTGTGACACAGGCGGAGAGGTGCAGGGCAGTCTGTCCTGGCTCTGGACAGCACCACAGACACTGGGGCTTGGAGCATCGAGGGCTGAGAGACCATAAGAAATTTATACAGAGACCAGAGTAAGAGGGAAAGACAAAAGAGCTGGGTGGGGCAAGAGGTGAGCCACTGAGTTTGTGCCCTACTGGATCAGGGGCATGAGGGAAGTATTGCATGGGTCCCAAGGCTCAGCTGAGTTACTGGGAATTGGCCTGCTCCAGCATCTGAAGCATCAGGCTAGGAGACAGCAGCCACTTCCTCTTTTCTCCCTCCTCTCACCAAACCCTAAGCTAATCCTGGGGTAACCCACACACCTAGTGTGGTTCACCAACCAATGCAGTGGCATATAGACCACAGCAATAGTTAAGACCAAGAGACCTCTACAGAATGGGCTGGGAGCCAGCTGGCTCCTATATTAAGCTCCAGAGATCCCAGGTTCAAATCTTACACTGGCATGGCTTTTTCTATTAGCCTCTATCAGTGACTGGGAAAAACTGCTTCAAAATCCCTCCCCTTGTCCCTGTGAGGTAAGCATCAAGCTTAAGAAGCACTTCAGACTAGTGAAAGGGCAGTGTAGGCAAGTATTAGAAAGGCAGATGCATTCAGCTCAGAGCCTGGACCTGCAACTCATGCCCCTCAATCTGCATAGTCCCAAGCTCAAAGATACCTGCTGAATTCATGCATGTTCTTTCTAAATTGACATCTTGATAAATTGAAAGGTGGGAAAGGAAACAGGTTTGGTAGGCTCCACTACAACTTGCAACAGTGATACTCTGCTGGTTATTTAAAATTAGCTTCAAAGCAGCCTGATGGAACACAGACAATTAACTCCAGGCTCTGAAGTGTATAGCCACCCAGGGGCACTCTTGCCAAAAAGGATGAATAAGAACTCTAGGAGTCCAGAGAGCATCTCCTACCCCTCCCACCATGATTTCTACAAGGAGGACAGAAGGAAGATACATGAGCCTCCCCCATGCAGGTCTCCCTTAGCATAAGGGGAGGAGAACATCCATGTTTAGCTAAAACAATTGCTCATCTGTAGTGCCACAGTTAGAGGTTGTCACATGAAAACAAACATACTAAACCCTTACCTGGCCAGGCTGCAGGGCACCTGAGAACTTTCTCCCCATGGAGGGCCCTGTGCCCACCTGCATCTGTCCCTTCAATCCTAACTGCCATCAGGTAACTACCATTCTGAGGAAGAAAAAAATACAAGTCAGGACTGTTGGTTCAGCCTTAGCAGAACCCCATGCAGGCACCACCAGGTCACTCACCCATTCATACACATAACAGCCATCATAGGAGGCATCTACTTTCCTGGAACCATCCAGAGTTTGAGACACCCAAACCCCACAGGAGGGATCATTCTGCAGAGTGTGTGGCCTCCCAAAAGTATCTAGAGAAAGACAAGAAAAAGTAGGTTGTAACAAGTTCAGTAGAAGATGAGCAATGAGGCTGTTAACTGCTAGTTCATAGCTCTGCAGCCTCCTCCCTTCTAGCTTTCTGTAGGGGATAAGCATGAACACTTGACTCATGTAAGCAGTTACTTAGTTACACTAGGGTTGAGTTTGCTGTTCAACAGGCCTTTGTTAACAGAACAAAAAAAGCCAAAGGCAAAAATTCACTTCTGCTCCTTTCCAGTGCAGCCACACACTGATACAGGAAAACATTCTGGCTCTCAAAACATTACCCTCACCTACCCCAAGCAGTCAGTTCAAGAGACATCTTGCCACCCTTGTCAGGAGGCAGAGCAAACTGCAGGCTTTTCTGCCCACAGACCAAGAAGGCAGGATCCTCTAAAAACCCATCCCACCATCCTAAAGCCAAGGAACAACACAACACCCAGCAGAGTACAGCCCCCAAAGGGCACCCAGCCTGCCCTGCACCAGCCATGCTCATTTCCTAACAGCAAGCCATAAAGCACTTACTCTTGGCCTGGCACCCTTATAGCCCAGAGGCTGCTCTGATTGGGCAGAGCCCAGATGAAAATTCCTGCAGTGACCAGGTGAAACTAGCTTTGGCCTCCCCCTGAGTCCTATTAACACCTTCCTGGAGCCAGCAGCTGGGAATGCTCAGGCTCATCACAATCCTTTCTCCTGCAGGTGCAACCTGGGTGGTGGTGGATGAGATAGGGCTGATTGGCCCCTCTCAGGAGAAAGCAGGAGAGGAACCTGTGGCCATGTCCCTTTACCTAGGGCTACGTCTACACTGGCATGATCTTGCACAAGAACTCTTTTGCTGAAGAGTTCTTGTGCAAAAACTCTTCCAGAAGAGAGTGTCTACACTGGCATGTGCATTTGCACAAGAGCTGTGCTTTTGCGCAAGAGCATCCTTGCCAGTGTAGACGCTCTCTTGCGCAAGAAAGCTCTGATGGCCATTTTAACCATCGGGGTTTCTTGCACGAGAAAGTCATGTTGCCAGTCTACACTGGCCTCTTGCGCAAGAACACTTGCGCAAGAGGGCTTATTCCTGAGTGGGAGCATCATAGTTCTTGTGCAAGAAGCCCTGATTTTATACAGTAGAACGTCAGTTTACTTGCGCAAGAACTCGCGGCCAGTTTAGACAGGCAGCAAGTTTTTGCACAAGAGCGGCCGCTTTGGCACAAGATCGCGCCAGTAAAGACACAGCCCTAGGAGTCTAATATTTCCAGTTAGAACCTAAGGAGGTTGGGAACTGGTTTCCTCCTGCTCCAGACTGAACAGTCCCCCACCCCTCCTCTGTGACTGGAGCATCCCACATTGCTAGACTCTCTGCCAGGCCAGCACTGGATTTCATTGCTCAGGACTGTTACAAGCATCAAGTTCCCTACCAGCAGGATGTCTCCTCTGGATGGATACAATTAGCCATGGCTTGGGTCACTCAGCGCTAGCGGCTGCTGGAACATGAACCAGTTACCTGCATTGTGTATGTGCAGCTGAATAGCGAGGGGGAAGAGTCTGATCTGCCATTGCCCTAGTTACTAAATCACAAGAGAAGCCTCTTATAGCCATCAGGGTATATGGCTACATGACAGTGGAGAATGTGGCCCAGAGAACCCAGTTCCAGCCAGTGAGAACTAGCTTAGCTGCTCCTTACCATATCTCATGGTTCTTGTCTCCCTCTCACTCCCAAAAGCCCATCTGCACTGAGTCAGGCTGATCGCTCCTCCTTCCTCCTTGCTGCCTGAGTGTTGGCAGGAGAACACTGAGGCTATGTCTACACTGGCGGCTCCTTGTGCTAGAACTCTTGCGCAAGAACACATCCACACTGCCATGTGCTTTTGCGCAAGAGTGACCATGGCAGTGTGGACGCTCTCTTGCGCAAGCAAGCTCTGATGACCATTTTAGCCATAGGGCTTTCTTGTGCAAGAAACCCCTGCCCTGCGTCCACACTGCCCTCTTGAGCAAGAGCTCTTGCGCAAGAGAGCTTACACCTGTTAGAAAAGAGCATAGCTCTTGTGCAAGAAGTCCTCTCCTACCACACTTTACTGTAAATGTTCTTGCACAAGAGTGGGTGGGCAGTGTGGACACTCTGCGGAAGAATGGCAGTTCTTGCGCAATAACCCACCAGTGTAGACATAGCCCGAGGACGCAGGACAAATAGTGTCCCAGCTTTCAGTTTCTGTCTGCAATTGCCATAGCTGTGTCTGCACTGCGCGCTCTTCAGTCCTGCTGCTCTGAGCTGGAGCATGCTCCATGTACAGTAGATGGAATTTTCAGAGACTTGAGCTCCCTTTCAAACAAATCTCTTGTGAGCATGTATGATGGAATGCACCCCTCTAGTCATACCCATTGTACTGCTGTAGAAATCTTTGTGTAAAATATGCCTGCTGAGGTATCATTTGAAAACTAATGAATGTGCGTAATACAGAAGTGAAAACATACACTTCTCCCTAGGGTGTTCAGACACAAATTCGATTTTTTTTTAACAAGTGTCAGCAGCATGGAAGCATGTCCTCTGGAATGGTGGCTGAAGGATGAAGGACCATAGAAATGTTGACCATATCTGTTATGTAAATACCTTTTAATGCTGGCTAAAAAAGTCCCATGTGAACATCTGTTCTCCTTTCTGGTGGCATTGCAAATAAAAAGTGGTCCACATAACCTCCCACAAACATAAACAAACTTGTTTGTCTTAGTGATTTGTTGAACAAGAAATAGGACTGAGTAGACTTCTAGGCTCTAACATTTTTGCACTATTTTATTTTCAAGTGCATTTATGCAATAAAAAAACTACATAGGTATGTTACACTTTCACAATAAAGAGATTGCACTGCAAGTATGAGGTGAACTGAAAAAAAATATTTTCCTTCATTTTTACAGTGCAAATATTTGTAATCAACAGTCATAATATAAATTGAGCTGTGTACGCTTTGTATTCTGTGTTGAACTTGAAATCAATATGTTGGAAAATGTAAAAAAAATCAAAATATTTAATAAATTTCAATTGCTATTCTATTGTTTAACAGTGCTATTAAAACTGTGAATAATCGCAATTAATTTTTGAGTTAGTTGCATGGGATAACTTGCAATTAATTGACAGCTCTAATCTCTTTCTGTTGTAAACATTTCTGATCTTAGTGCCTTATCTTGCATTCATTTAAAATATATCTCTATATAGTTAAATAAACTTGTTTTATTCTTTAATTCAATATATTTAATTCAATCTAATCCAGTGTTGTGAATTGTTTAGGATACTTCATTTAAGGTAGCAGATTGTCTCCTGCTTAGGAGCTAATATAGGTGGAGTATCCCAGAGAGGGTTGGGCAGTGCAAAACACATTTTGGGGGACAAATCTAGGACTGAGAGCACGCTAAGGATCATCCTGCAGGTAGTAACACCTGCTGCTGAAAGCCAAAATGTGCCTGTTTGTTAACAGGCTGCTGGTGTCAGATTGGCTCGACCGAAGATGCAGCTCTGCACAGATCCTCAGCATGTGAGCTGCATGCTGTCTGAGTGGAGCCCAGCTGGGAGTTATAGCAGTAAAGCATTGTGCGGTATCCCAAGTTGCAGGACCAAGCATGCAGCATCACTGCGCTTCACTGGTTCATATTGCATCCTGGAATGTCATAGTTTGTGTGAAGAGAAACTTTCTTTTTAAAGGCCCATAACTTGACCAAATATAGGTGCAGTTGCCTGGACACAGTAAAGGGCAGATTCCTAGCAAGAGGCACAATTTTGAGTCCCATCTCCAATCCAGGAAGGTGCCAGAACATCTCAAATAAACAGATTATTTTTCAACATGGGTGAAAAAATGCCTCTTTTCCTTAATCTTGAAGCTTCAGGGGCTAGCCGAGTTAGTCTGAATAGGATAAACTTAAAAAACAACAAATGGTCTGGTAGCACTTTATAGACTAACAAAACAGCCCACTTCTTCAGATGACCGGAGTTATGACTAACTCTTTTAGCTGAAACTTTCACAGAAAATTTCTACCTGAGGAAAATTTCAACTTGAATAATTGAAGTTTGGTAAAGTTCTAATGAACTGAAAATATGGTCTTATAACTGAAAGTGTCAGGTATCCTTAGATGAAGTTGGTTGCACCACCTGTCTGTGAGTGTAAATGTATATATGTGTGTGTGTGTTTCACAGACATAACCCCCAGGTCCCTAAAGTTCCACTTTGTATAAAATACTTATAAATTAACTGGCACAAAGACTGTAACCTGGGTCCCTAAAGTGAGTGTCCTAACAGCCCAACAAATACTCAAGTTGTGATGCTCTTCTCAAGATGCTCCTCCCATAAGTCGCTGTGGTACCCCTCTGCCTCAGATGCCTGCCACCACTGACTCTGCCTCTCCTGCATACTTCTTGGAGTCTCTGCCAGTCTTAATCTTGCCTGACAAGTAATGTTCTGTGAACTCCAGTTCCCATATGCCCCTCTGAAGTGTCCAGTCTCTCTCATTGGAAACTCCATAAATTAACAAGCCCACTGCCTCCAAAGAGACAGTGCACATGCCAGCCTTCTAGCTGAAGTGAGGAGTCACACTTTAACATACAGCACTGAGGTGGTTTACAGTAAAACAAAGCATAAGTTTATCAATAAAGAGAATATATTGAAATGATGCTGAGCAAGAGTAACAGAAACTGAGCTGAAAATGAAAGTATAAACACGCTTTCTAGTGTCCCCAATATAACGTTAGCAAACTGCAATCTTTGCCTAAACAGCTTTCACATTTACATCAAGCTAAGAGCATCTCCAGTCCTTTCAGTAGGACCATCTGACATTCTCAGAATTAAAGTGTGCTGCCTCCTCCTTCCCCCTCAATGATGAATAATTAAAGTGTCTTTTTGTTCCACTTTTATTTTCCAAAGCACATTGTCTTTGCCTTAAGACCTAGGTAGACCTTTAGGGAGTCTGACTCTGACATGCACACCAAAATGTTTCCTCTGGTGCTGGATTGCTTTGTTTACCTTC